ATAAATAAACACAAGAATTTACGTAGAAAACTCCAAACCGAAGAAAGACCACGGCCCACCAAGAAAAATCCACTACGGCAAAAATTATTAGTCACATAAAATTTTCTCTCCGACTTTAATTACACAAAACACTCCCTCAAAGTTCTACACCACTTAAAGCAACTAAGTCACTATATTAGACTTAAAACGTTTCAATTGGGACGACTAAAACTCAAAACAATTGATTTCTTTTACAACACTTTTAACACATCTCTTCCCTGTAACTTATCGATACCGGATAATTTTTATTCTACTATTTGGCCAAAAATCCTACAATATCATCGTAGGAGAGAGGGTTTGAAGAAGAGACGTGAGAGCATTGGGAAAAGAGTATATATATTATTGTGGTGTGGGAGAGAATTGAGGTGGTAAAAGCGACATGTATATGTATTATGTAGGGGACCAAACAAATAAAAATTCAAACTTTAAAGGCAGCTGCCTCTTCAAAATAGGTTTCCCATAAAAAGGTTGTTGTCGTTTCTGAAATATTAATGTTCATGTGCCAAACTCTCCACTCTCACAAAAATCCTTCTCTCCCAACCTTGTCCTTCTCTAAAACAATACAACTACCAAACAAATAACATATCTCTTCCTCCCTCTTGCCCACTTTTTCAGAACCCACTTTACATGATTTTCCCAAAAAAAATCCTTTCCTTCTCAACGATATCATAGAACGAGAGCAAATGATATTACAGGAGTGCAAACATATAACGATCATCGGCTAAACTATCACTGCTGCTCTTATTCAACCATATTCTTAAGCCATCCAAGCCACACCCAGCACGAGGTTTGATGTGTTATATATATATATATATTTTCCGACCGTTTTTTTTATAAGTGGAGATGCATAGATTTGAATCATGATGAAGATTTGATTTTGTTATTGTTATTGTTATGTACAATAAAATGAGGCGAAGAAATTAAAAGCTATTTATTGGTTGGTCTTGTTATAATCATAAGTAGCTAGTTTGGATATATCTCTATAGATTTCATAGTTCTATTATTTGCTGAACACAACTAGCAGTCATAGCTTTTTCTACTTTACTTTATATGAGCTTTTGTCATGTTAACACTGTTTTGTCGTTGAAAACTGAGTATTATTAGC